ATGGGGGCTGCACTCCACTTTGGTGAGGGACACCATGCAGGAAGACTGCGATGATGCTCCCAAAGTGTGTTGGGATCACTGGTGCTGCTCCTTGGTGGGAGGATGCAGACCGCAGAGCCAGGCAGCACATCCGTATTTATGCCTGCCATTCATTTCCATCCATTTCAATATTTTATGAGTGTAACAATAGGAGTTCAGCGCTCGTTAAGACATGGAAATAATTGGGTGTTGACGGGCCTGGCGAGCTGCAGGTGCTGCCCATGCGGAGGTGGCTGCCACAGCGGGTGCATGAACCTGCCTGGCCCCTGTGTGGGGGCCGCATCCCGTCCCCATTGGGGCTGAGGGCAGGGATATGGGGCTGAGGAAAGGCAGAGGTGGATCTCCATGCTCTCTGCTCCTCCTCCCAGTCCCCTGGCAAGGTCTGAGCACTATGGCCACAGCGAGGGGCCAGTATCCCAATGGGAGGGGGTGCCATAGGAGGGAAGGGGCACTGAGTAGGACCTCTGTGAGGGGTCCCACACGTCACCTTCCTCTGTTCCCCAGATGCTGTGGCCTGCGTGGACCCCGAGGAGTGCACCCGTGTATGTGGGGCTGCCGTGGGCTGCTCCAACATTGCCTACCCCAAGCTGGTGGTCGAGCTCATGCCCAGTGGTAGGTGTGGGGGGAGTCTGCATCCAGGGGTAACCATGCAGCCCATCACCGCTCAGTCCTTGGGGGGTTTCTATGGCCGGTCCGGGTGGGTTCACATGTGGGATGGCCCCTGCTGACCCTCCCCAGGTGACCCTGGCACCTTGGACACAGAATCAGGGCTACCCTATCCCATCCCCATCCCCATCCCCATCCCCATCCCATCCCATCCCATCCCATCTCTCCCAGCTCAGCCACTCTCCCCGATGCTCCCTCTCTTCCCCAGGGCTGCGGGGGCTGATGATCGCGGTGATGATGGCCGCGCTGGTGTCGTCCCTGACCTCCATCTTCAACAGCAGCAGCACCCTCTTCACCATGGACATCTGGAGGAAGCTGAGGCCGGGGGCTGGAGAGCAGGAGCTGCTCTTGGTGGGCAGGTAGGGACCATGGGTTTCGGGGACAACCGTGGTGGTGGGGCTGGTCCAGCCCTCTGCAATTTGCAACCTGTGATTTTGAACCTGCAAAGTGAAAGGAAAACAAGCCCTTGGATTATTTGATGTATGAAAGCGCTGGAAAAGCAGCTTTTCTTCCTGCTCCCTAGGGGAAGCTGGCGGCTGCTCCCCACCGAGGTCCCAAGCAAAGGCCAGTGCTTTTTTTCCAAGGCCAGCCCGGCCCCCCCATGCCCTGGGTGCTCCAGGGGGGGACATCGGGGAGCCGGGGAACCTGCCCGCGGTGCCACGCTCGGGGCGGCAGAGTCAGCGCTGGGGAATGCTCCGGCGCGGTGCCTTGGTGCCGGGGAGTGTCCTCGGCGCGGGGCAGACAATAACAAGGAGCGAATC